TGAGCTGGGGGGGCTGTGGGGCAGAGACACCGTGCTGCAGAGACCTGGGGCTTATTTGTGCTTTAAAACCAATGTAGGGGACTGCCTGCCAGCTGGAAGGGGGTACGACTGCTTGATGAGAAATGCCACGTGGGTACAAATGAACTTGATTGACAGGAAAGAGAAAGAAAATGCAGCCTCTTTCTCCTCTTTCTGCAGAGACAGGGACGCTGTGGTTTGGGTTTAGGTGGTCCTGCGAGGAGCAGGGAGTTGGACTCGATGATCCTTATGGGTCCCTTCCAACTCCAGATATTCTATAACTTCTATAACTAATATTCTGTAACTTCTTGGGCTATGGCTAAAGGAGCGTGGCCCTCTCTTTAGAAACGCTGCTTAAAGAAGCAGAAGTGATTCTGCCGCTGATTAATAATAGGATGAAGGTGATTGGAAACGAGCTGGGGGGAATAAAGCGCTGCTGGGCTCTGAATAAAACGGGCCTTAGTTCAGCAAGGATGTGGCAATTGGCTTCTTTCCTGCCGGACTCAGTACGAGGGGGAATTGAGGGGAAATTGTTAAATTTGCTCAGTCTGCATTCAGAAAGGCTTTCAGGTTCGTTAGGCACATCAGCACGGATGGTTAACGGGGACAGAGCTGAGTATCGTTAGGGAAGACGAGCGTCAGCTCTGAGGAGGCTTCGGTGGTGGAGATTTGCAGGGGATGGGGGCTCCTCAGCTGCAGTGGGTAAATAGTAAATACACCCTGTGTCAGGGGAAGGAAAACACCCAGGCAGCAGCCAGCCTGTATTTCCCTTCCCTCTTGGCCAGCGTTAGCTCAAGAAGCCCCATCCCATTGTCAGAAGAATAAGCTGTGAAATGGTTTTGAAAATAAAGGCTTTTTTAATTACAGGCCCATTGGAGAGCCTTCTGGAGACCATCTGGCTGGGGGAGCCAGGGAAGGGAAGGGAAGGGAAGGGAAGGGAAGGGAAGGGAAGGGAAGGGAAAGGAAGGGATGGGATTTTCAGGTGCTCTGGGAAGAGCTGCTCCCCTCGTGCCGGGTTATCAATCCCCAGTGTTTGCATGTGATCGGCGTCAAATTAACTCCACCGCGTTTGATCCCAGCCAGGATTAACACACCCCAGGAACAGAGATTTCTAATAAATCTGGATGCCCCGGCTTCGTCTCCCTTTGCTGCCTTCCACGGAGAGAGTTCATGGGGGAGCGTGTTTCTGTAATTACTGTCCTGTGTTTGGCATTAGCCATTCCTATCAACGATGCAGAACACAGCCAGGGCCTCATTAAAGACTGTCATTGTGCTAATTAGGTAGGTTTCATACTTAATAATGGGGAACTATTTCATGGCAGTTTCATGAAAAAAAAAAAAGAGGAGAAAAAGCCATTATAATCTCAGGAAAAGTCCCTGGAGAAGCGAAATGGTAATTCACAAATCCTACCCTGATCTATTAGCAGATCCTGCTCTGGAGACTAAATTAGGTAGGATGTCTGGCCTGGCTGATATTCTTTATTATTTGAATGCCTATTAAAGGATATTTATTAATTTTTTTTTTTTTTTTTTTTTTTTTTTTTTTTTTTTTTTTTTTTTTTTTTTTTTTTTTTTTTTCTCTTAAGAACTTTTGAGATCTGGCTACATTTGCTTGCAATTTCCTAGTGGCTGTTTGAAGCCTGGGTCACACGGAGTCTGTCAGTGCAAACACCCTGGAAAATCCTATTTTGATGCGAAACATTCTTTGAAGAAACATGTAAGAGGCAGAGAGAACACACACACCCCAGACACCACGCTGGGCACTCGGTCAGGTCTCTGTGCAAAGTGGGAGGAACCTGTTCCTTTGGAAAAAGATGAAATTAAGCAAATGCCACCACCTCTGTCCTCGGGCCAGTGTCTTTCCTTTGTGGTCCCCAAATCCCAACGCTGGCCTCGCTGGCACTTGCCAGCAGAAGTGCTGGGAGGAGCGGGGGGTGCCAGGGGGTGCCAGGGGGTGCCAGGACCCCGGGGGGCTGTGACCCCCCTCCTGGGGGTGTGGGTGGGAGCAGGGAAGGGCTCTGCAGAGCTGTGGCTGCGACCAGAGAGGTTATTTTGGGTGGGAAAGGAACACGTGGGCGGCAGCTGGGGCCAAGAACTGCCCTTTCCACGTGAATCCAGAAACAATAGTGCTTCCTCCCAGCAGGCACAGAAAGGGCCGGGTTCGGCAGCTGATCCCTGAGCAGCTCCCCAGCGTGGGCAGGGTGGACGTGTGGGGCGGTTCAGCAGCTGATCCCTGAGCAGCTCCCCAGCGTGGGCAGGGTTGACGTGTGGGGCCAGAAGAGGTTTTTCTCAAGAGAAACTTCCCATTTCATAAGACCCCATCGATGGGGGGAGCGGCACCGCGACGGCCACTGGGGTGGGGGATCCATGCCGGCAGGAGCCCAGGGGTGCTGGGAAAGAGGGTTTGGGTTATACAGCCCAGTTTGGGTTTGGGTTTGGGTTGTGCAGCCTCTGCGGGGGCTGGAGGAGGGGGCTGCCAGGGGGTGGCAGGTCCCCGAGAACCACTTTTCCCATGGACTCGCTTCCCAACACGCATTTTAGGCTCCAGATCTCCCCGTGTTCTGCACAAACACATCCTGTTTCCTGGATAATTCATGGCCTTGGTGAGGGAACCGCCAGAAGAGGTTTTTCTCAAGAGAAACTTCCCATTTCATAAGACCCCATCGATGGGGGGAGCGGCACCGCGACGGCCACTGGGGTGGGGGATCCATGCCGGCAGGAGCCCAGGGGTGCTGGGAAAGAGGGTTTGGGTTATACAGCCCAGTTTGGGTTTGGGTTTGGGTTGTGCAGCCTCTGCGGGGGCTGGAGGAGGGGGCTGCCAGGGGGTGGCAGGTCCCCGAGAACCACTTTTCCCATGGACTCGCTTCCCAACACGCATTTTAGGCTCCAGATCTCCCCGTGTTCTGCACAAACACATCCTGTTTCCTGGATAATTCATGGCCTTGGTGAGGGAACCACCTGCAGAAACGTCCCCTTCATCTCTCAGCCCAAGCATTGCTGTGGCCCTGTCCCACCAAGCTCAGCCTGGCCCCTTGCCTGCTGCCCACCACGCTCATCACAGCTGAGGGCAATCCTCAATACAAGATTAAAAAGCCCCTGGTGGGAGAGCTCAGTTCCCTAGAACCTCTCCCCAGCCAGCGTGGTGCTCCTCTCTCCTCTCTCCGTGGGGCTCAGCCTTCGGTGCCAGGCAGGTATGGCTGGGATGTGCTCCTGGGGTTGGGGTGTCACAGGGCAGTGCCATCAGGTTTGGAGCTGTTGTTCTCTTATAGAAAGTGCTACTGCTCATAGAAAACTCCTTCTCCCCTTTGCTCACCCTGTGGAAAGGTTGGTGGGAGCCGTATTTGTAACAAACAGGATGAACTGCTGATAAAAGAGGAGGAAAACAAAACTCTTCAGAAGCAGCCTTTCAGCATTCAGAGAAATCAAGAAGGGGGGAAAACAATTGGACCTAAAGCCTGTGAGGAGGAAAAACAAAAGCCTGCTTGCAACTCAGGGTCCTGAAAAAGTGCTGAGCGTGGCTGTCAGATGCTGACCCGCTCCTCTCCTTGTATGGGCAGAAACGGGGCTTGTCTTGTGCCTATATTTAATTTGCAAGGGGAAAAAAAAAATAATCTCCCTCTGTGCCTCTGCTGCACTGGCCTCTCTGCCTTGGGACGTTACAACAGGAATAGAATTGCATGTTTAAAAAAAATAATACTCCTGCTGGCACACAAGCCCTTCCCTCTGCTGCACTGGCCTCTCTGCCTTGGGATGTTACAACAGGAATAGAATTGCATGTTAAAAAAAATAATAATACTCCTGCTGGCACATGAGCCCTTTCTAAACTGGGAGTGAGGGGAACAGGTTTTTGCAACACAGCCCCACTGAGTGCTTGGCTGTCAGATGCTGACCCGCTCCTCTCCTTGTATGGGCAGAAACGGGGCTTGTCTTGTGCCTATATTTAATTTGCAAGGGGAAAAAAAAAATAATCTCCCTCTGTGCCTCTGCTGCACTGGCCTCTCTGCCTTGGGACGTTACAACAGGAATAGAATTGCATGTTTAAAAAAAATAATACTCCTGCTGGCACACAAGCCCTTCCTAAACTGGGAGTGAGGGGAACAGGTTTTTGTAACACAGCCCTGCTGAGCTCTCGGAGCCTCTGCAGCTGGTGGGACTGGGGGGCACAGAGCAACCCCCCAGCTCTGGGCTGTCCTCACGGTGGGTCTCAGAGCTCCTGGGCACTCACCTTGGTCACGACTTACTCCTGTGGACAGTGAGGAGAGGGCCCATGGAGAGTCCACTTGAATATGAGGAAGAACTTTTTCATGGTGAGGGTGGCAGAGCCCTGGAACAGGCTGCCCAGGGAGGGTGTGGAGTCCCCTTCCTTGGAGATTTTCAAGACCCACCTGGATGCTCCTGAGTAACATGCTCTGACAAGCTCTGGGTGGTCCTGCTTCAGCAGGGGAGTTGGACTAGATGATCTCTATGGTCCCTTCCAACTCTAAAAATTCAGTGAAATTCAGGGAGAGCACAGCAGGACCCCTGTGGTCCTGTCCCCCTCCATGAGCCGGGGACTCCACGGCTCACTCTCAGCAGCAATTCCCCCCCAAACACTTCTCCCTCTGCCTTTCCCTGTGCTGGGGGAGGAGGAAGAGGGATGTTGAAGTGAAGGCTCTCAGGGATGTGCATGGGCTGCAGCAGGATGTTCCTCCAGAGCAGCACTGGGACCCTGGCAGGGAGCTCTGGCTGCAGCTTGTCTCCCCGCTGTGATTTATGACCTCTCCTTGGATGGAAACCCTCCTGGCTGCTCCCCAACCTCCCCAGTCCCAGCTGGGAACAGGCTGACACAACCCGTCTCTGCTCCCGGCTCCCACCCCACCAGCAGAGCCTTCCTGCTGGCTCAGCCAGGGTCTCGTGATCGTGAAACCCCAGAAGGATCTGGGCAGGAGACAAGTGGGACCGAGGGTGGCCCCAGGATGGAGATGGCCCCACAGGACACTGGAGACTGACACCACTTTATTGGTAACTCTTGGAGAGCCGGACACTGAAGAACTTGGTTCTGTCCAGAGGAGTTTGTACACAAAGAGCAATAGGAAACAACAACAATAAACGTCTGTGGCAACTTTGTATCTTGGTGCAACCTCAACAATAAACTCTTGCAACACGGTCTCTGGCGAGGCCGGTGGGGAGAAGGGCATGAGGAGAGGAGCAAAAGCCACCGAGGGCTCTGGGGTCACAAACTTCCACGAAAAGGAGCCTTGTGTCCTACTGGTTTAACTGGCAGGGGAAGGAGATGCTGGGAGAGCAACGGAGACACAATTTAAGGAGGAAACCCCACAGCTGGAACACAACAAAGCTGGGGTTTGACACCCCCACTCAGCAACTGCTCAACTCTTATAAATTCAAACTTTGTTCTTTCAACTTAAATAACAAGTGCTTCAGGGACAACGCTTGAACCGCCTGGTCTATAACCCAGTTTTAAGTGCACACAAGCAGGAATAGATTTTTTTTCTTTTAAAAAACTATATATATATTTTCACACTCTCACACACACATGCACACAGTGAATTTTGTGCCGCAGCTGTTTTAACTGGAGATGATGGAATGGGCCTGAAGTGGCTATCGGAAGCCAGGCTCCAGAAGCTGGTCATCCAGGACCACTCACCTTAAAGCTGCTGAAGATTCTGATTAGTTTTGCAAATATGGGTCCCCCCCCAAAGTCTCCCCACACGGGGCTGCATCAGCTGCTGCTCCGACTGCCCCGAAGCTATAGTTCTCTGGAAAATGCTGCTTGCAGGAGACTGGACGCTTTGCAGAGGACTTCTCTTTTGTCTCGGTCCATGTCGAGAGCTCAGGGGTCTCCTGAAAAGACGTGTATGGCCTCCAGCTCCTCCCCAGCCCCAAACAAGTGCTTGGCAGAGCAGGGAACACCGACAAACTCAGACCCAAACAGCTGTATTGATGTCAAACCCAGTCTGGGTGTAGTCTATGGTATCGTGGACTTTCTTGATGCCCATTTTGGGCTTTTCACTATTGCTCTCTGCCTTTGGGCACCTCTCCGCTTTGCTGTGATGGTTCTGGATGTTCCCGTGAAGTGGGAAGTAAAATGTCCCCTTGAGTTTGCTCATTTTTTTGGGTCTCTTAGAAATTTCGGGCTGTTTATCTTCAGGAGGAAGCCAGCAAGGTTTCTCCTTGAGAAGCCTGTCTCGGTCTGGCCGGACGCTCCTCAGGAACTTCTTGAAGATGTTGGCTGTGAGGGAGAACTTCCTGCAGAGCTCCTGGGACCTGCTCATGGACAGAGACTCCTCGCTCTTCTCCCCTTTCTTATCCAGCTCTGGCAGATCCAACCAGTTCCCAACCAAGTCTGCGAAGATGTTATCCCCCAAGACCAGGGGCTGCCGATTCCTGCTCTGGGACATCAGGGAGGATGTCCAGTCGTGGCCATCGTCACATCCTGGGCACTCCCGGCACGCTGGCCACCCCCCAGCTGTGCCCTGGCTACTGGGCTCAAATGTCCGTGGGTGGACACGCTCTGCTCTGCTCGACACCGAGGAATGTCCTTTTGGGTGACAAACATCCTCACCACAGAGGCTCCTGAAGGAGGAGGGGGCGTCTCCAAGGTGGCCATCCTCCGGGAGCCCAGCGGGATGGGCCAAACCCCCCGGCCGTGGCACGGCACACAGGATGGACGTGGGGCCGTGCTCCTCCACCGCCACCTCCCACCGGGCCTGAGGCACATCCTGGCTGTTTCGGCAGCACTGGTGGTGCTCGGCGCCAGCCACGGTGCCTCGGCTCCCCGAGATGTCCAACTGCTCCAAAGCCGTCTGGACCTGGAGCAGTTTCAGCTCCTGCAGGGCCCCCATCATGCAGTTCATCTGCTCGTGCAGCCCGTCGCCCACCTCCTTCATGGAGAGCTGCCGAGGGAAGGAAGCAGACATGGAGTCAGTGAGTCCCCCCCAGGAAGGAGCAGAAAAACTGTCACCCAAAGGCAGGAGAGCTGGGCCGAGCAGCTCCCTCAAACATCACCTCTTCCTACCGACCGCATCTTAGATGCACCCGACCTGCAACACATCCATTTCGTGGAACAGCAATTAGGCATTTCCTAGATTTTTTTTTTTCCTAGGAGTTTCCCTCTAGGAATAAAAGAAGCTGACAAGGAGTGGATTTTTTTTCACCTGACAACAAAAATAAATAGTTTGAGTTGCCATTAATTGCTTGGCAGAAGCCCAAGGCGCAGAACTATGAATGGCTTTGGCTGCCGCCCGTTTCAGCATATTCTTCTGCTTTTGTGTCTTTTGTGCCCTGTAACTCTCTGAAATCAGGAGTCAGAATAATGAACAGAAGTGTCTTCCATGGAAATCCTTGTTTCTTTACCTAACGTGCTACGGTAAATGAAAAATAAACCCCAATAAGAATCACATCGTTACTATAAATAATCAGATCTTAATACCCTCGTTACAGGCGCCTCTCACTAGAGGACAATCAGACATTTCAATGCACTTCAAATTTTGGATTAAACAGCCAACAAACTCTGAAATTACTTACATTAAACTAGCAATCCAGGCCAGGACCATTAGTAGCCGTTGTGCTTTATCCCCAAACCTTGCTATAAAGATTTAACTTTCTATACGAGGCTTAAAATAAGCAAGTTATTTTCCAGAGCTGCTAAACTCCCCCTCTTCTCTTTCGCTCTGTTGCTTTCTCTCTCTCGTAGGCTCTGGCTCATATTCCCAAAGCCACACCATAAAACAAATGGGTGATACTTTCCAACAGCTGCCACTTTTTCTTTTTTTTTTTTTGAGCAGGGAGAGGGAGCGGGGCCTGGGAAGGAGAAGGGACGAGCAGCAGGGGACTGCAGGGCTGGAGGTGAAGACATGTCACATCGATGCAAGGTGGTTTGCAGAAGAGATTACCCCTGTCTAGGAAAAGCTTCAGCCTACGCTGTCATAAACAGTTTAAAAGGCTCGTCGCAATTTTTGTCCAGCAGCAGATCGCGAGCTTTTGGGGTGAAAAAGGACAGAGGCATCTGATGTTCAGCTTTACATTATCAACCTTTACTCTCTTACCTCTCCAGTTTAACTAAACCAGTTCAATTACTTGCTCTATTTCCATTTCTGCACGTGGATCTGAGCAGTGAGAAAGAGCAGTCATCAAAAAACTGGATCCTCTGTAACAATCCAGCTCTGTAATGGAAAGCTCGACAGCTCCTGACCACGGATCTCCATTTCAAAAACCCAGAACCCAAAACCAGCCACCAAGTCACCGCGATTTTTTTTCAGAGCTTCACTCCCAAGAAAAACCTATTTATCACCCGGAATCAGCACACAAGCTACGAAGACGCAGAAAATCTGTTTAGCTTCCTGATTACACTATCAAGTGCCCCCAGCTATCTAATTTTTTAACATCAGCAAATAACCCTCTCCTCCTGCAGACATGCAAATAATGCCCCACTTACAGACGAGCCCAGCTCTTGGGTTTCCCGTGCAAAAGCCGGGGCCATATGCTCTACCAGCCTCAGACGAAACTATCACCTTACCTCTCCAGATTTGCTGTAATGCTTCTCGTCCTAACCTTTCTCGCCTTATTAATGGAAGTCTGTTTTATCTGGGGCTTTGAAAAAGCTGGATTTGGAGCCAGCCTGGCCCCTCATTGGCCACTTCCCACCAAATCCCCCGGCCGGCGCAGCGTGTGATCACGGCACGGCCAGTGAGGAGGGTCCTGTGGGATCCACGGGGCTGATGGAGCCCGGGGCATCTGCTGGGCGGCTCCGTTCTTCACCTCATTGATTCAATTAACTCCCCCGTGATGGGGGGTATCGTTACAAGGCGTGCCTCCCCCAGCCAGGCTCTACTAAGCATCAACATTTCATGGGCAGCGTTTATCGTCAGCGTGGTCGTTTCTCACAGGAAGATCCCGTCTCCCCCCAACAAGACCCAAGCCCCAAAAGCTCAGGCTCCAGCACTTTTCCTCCTCAACAAACGAGCTTGTTCTGCAAAATTTGGGGCCAGCACCAGCCTGGGGAACCTGAGCCACTGGAGAAGCAGTGGAGATGGACACTGTCCCATCAATGACTTGAGGTTTGGATGCTTCTCCTGGTCCCCAGCACTGTTGGCACCAAGGGCTGGGCTGAGACAGCCCCTGGAAACGGGCATTTTGGGGACGTGACTCCTCTGCCTGGTCTCACCAACCTGCCTCAGGGTGGGGACAAATCCTGCCCTCTGTGCTCAGCCTTGGTGTCCCTCTGTATATGTGAATCCCACCATCCACAAGAGAGTTTTAAAGATCCTGAGGCTTTTAACTCTGCTTAAAACATCACTAAAACCTTGGGTTGTGCAACTTAAAAACCCAAAGCAACCAACCCCCTCTGCTTTATCTTCTGCTCCTCACGGTATCTCTTCAGTCTTCTACAGAACTGAAGGAGGAGCAAAACCCAGCCCAAAGTGAAGTCACTGCCTGGTGACCGAACAGTCCGCAGGGGCTTGGATTTCATCCACTAGTAATTACCCTGTGGTAATTAAGAGGAAAAAAAAAAAAAAAAAGTTTCTTCCCCAGTGTGTAACCCTGCTCTTTGCCAAGAAGCTCCCAGTTCGCCCAAGCTCAGACTGGTTTCTCCGAGACTCTCCAGAAAAGGAACGATCTCCCCCAGAAGAGAGACCACCACCCTGGCACGGGTTCAAGATTGAACAATCTGAGCTGCTGGAGGAGGAAAAGAGGCTCTGGGAATAATCCAGCAGATTGGGTAGGAGTCAAAGAGATGCTCTGACTGCGAGGTGATGGGATCTCTGGGCTGAAGGGACGCCCCTCGTAGCCTCGCTGTCCCCTGGCCACACACTCCACCTAGAAGGAACTGGAATTTGTGACAAACTCAGGTACAATTCCAAACAGAGCGTGAACGTGATACAAAACCCCAGAGAGCCTGAATGTGGCACGGAGAGAGACCCTGACCGTGTCACTGGGGTTGCACAAGTGACATTATGTAAGCTGGGCACCACGGGCCATCGGATGCTCTGAAACGTGCGTGTTTGAGTGCTGTAAATCCCAAACCTGACATCGAATCAGCCCTGTGCTCGGCCGTGCTGCAGAGCAGAGCCAGGGGAACAGCATTTGCTGCGACATTATGTAAGCTGGGCACCACGGGCCATTGGATGCTCTGAAACGTGCGTGTTTGAGCGCTGTAAATCCCAAACCTGACGTGGAATCAGCCCCGTGCTGCAGAGCAGAGCCAGGGAAACAGCATTTGCTGCAGAACTTCATGTCGAGCACAGACCTCACTCATCAGCATCCTCCCTTCCCCTACCCACCGGTCTCTGCCCAAGGTGCACTTCAAGGGGCTCCGGGTGTCTGATTTGGGACACTTTGTGCTTCAATACAAGCGGGTGTTTGGCACCTTTGCTTCCCAGAAAAGCCAAATTAGAACTATGACAACTTGCAGATGCTCAAATTTACATGAGAGCTAAAAATCAGATGCCTCCAAGTGCATCTCGCTATTATTCCTGAAACTTTTGCAGTCCCTAAAAACTGGCACGAAGAAAGTTTTAGTGTAATTCTGCACAAGCCAACACAGATGCTTTTTACAGCCAGGCGAGTCCGTGCAGGGCTGGGCAGAGTCGAGACGTGTGTGTTCCACCTGGGGGGCTGGGACACGGGGTGCCATGTCGGGTGCCTCCCCCCCAGCAGAGAGGTGTCACCCCCACATCTCTCCTCCTGCCACGGCACGAGCAGGACAGGTCCAACTAAATCCTTCTAAGAAGCAAAGCTTGCTTCAACTACAGCCACCCCAAACACTGGAAACTGAGGTGCGAAATTCAAAAGCTTTCCAAGCCCTGATGATCATCAAGGAATATTCAGCATCAGGGGAGAAAAAAAAAACCCAAACAAACAGCATCTTGCAAAACTGCAGAGTTCAAATATAGGGGTTTTTTACACTGGAAATTTACCATTCTGAGAAGCAAAGGTATCAGTCGCTCTGTAAGCCATGCCTTTTTAATGATTTCCTCAAAATACTTATTCCCAGACCTACAACCACAATTGGTTTGCACAGTTTATAGATCAATGATCTCCAGCCACTGATTAACGCAGCAGGAGCACAACCTGCCCCGAGGAACATCCCATCCTCTGGCGGTTACTGGCATTTTATCAGCCTCAAACCCAAATTCCTGAGACTACAAATACGGGAGATCTCCCTTCTCACTTCCCAGGTAAATAAGTAGCTTTTTTAACCCGCTCTGGGAACCGATGTTTTGCAATTAGCATCTACACGTGCTGAGTTCTCAGAACCCAGTTCCCATCCGTGCCCTGGAGCCCCGGCTGTGGGCTGTGGGGGGGTTGGTCGCCTGTCGGCTGAACAGGAGCCAGCAGTGTGCCCAGGTGGCCAAGAAGGCCACCAGCATCCTGGCCTGTATCAGGAACAGTGTGGGGAGTAGGGCCCGAGAGGTGATGGTCCCCCTGTACTCGGCACTGGTGAGGCCTCATCTTGAGTACTGTGTCCAGTTTTGGGCCCCCTACCATAAAAAAGACATTGAGGTGCTGGAGCGGGTCCAGAGAAGGGCAACAAAGATGGGGAGGGGTCTGGAGAATAAGTCTTATGAGGAGAGGCTGAGGGAACTGGGGTTATTCAGCCTGGAGAAGAGGAGGCTGAGGGGAGACCTTATTGCTCTCTACAACTCCCTGAAAGGAGGGTGTAGAGAGGTGGGGGTCGGTCTCTTCTCCCAAGTCACAGGCGACAGGACGAGAGGAAATGGCCTCAAGTTGGGCCAGGGGAGGTTCAGGCTGGAGATTAGGAAAAATTTTTTCACTGAAAGGGTTCTCAGCCCTTGGACTGGGCTGCCCAGGGAGGTGGTTGAGGCCCCATCCCTGGAGGTGTTCAAAAGCCGGGTTGATGTAGTGCTGGGAGGTCTGGTTTAGTGATGATGCTCCTTGTTTGTTGTGTGGGTGTCTATTTTTGTCAGTTCGGTTGACGGTTGGACAAGATGATCTTTAAGGTCCCTTCCAGCCTAGAAGATTCTGTGATTCCCAGCCCCTCCAAGCATCTGGCCTGCCTGGGACGGCAGCAGCTTTGGGATGCTGAGGGGAGGAAAGGAAAACCCAGCCAACGCACCCCGGCTTTCAGCCCAGCAGCGGGAATCAGAGAGCAGAGCTCTGAGCATGTTTGTGGTGCTGAGGAGGAAGACAGATGTCCAGCTCTGAGGCAGAAGAAACGCAAAGAGAGGAAGTTATTGCTGGGAGGACAGGAAAGAACAAACGGCAGAGAGCAGCTCTTAATAATAGAGCTGATACAGGCAACAGAACCGGCAACAAACAATCGGTATTTAAAGGGGATGACATAATAGAGACCGAAATTATTTTAGAACTGCTGAGCTGATCATATTGTGTCCGTGTTCTCCTTTGGGTCACTAACTAGATTAATCTGCAGCAAGGCTGTGACTGCAGCTGGGCATAACTGGGGAGCGTCCTGCAGGACTCAGAGCTGCTCCCCAGCCTCCTGTTGCACCTTCTCCCCTTCCCTTGATGGACACCAAGAGCCTGCAATCTTCTTGCCTTCACATTTCATCCCAAGAATTTCAACTCTCTGTTACCTCTTGTCTTTCCAGAGTATTTTAGGTGCAAATGAGGATGTTAATGGTGAGCTCACAATTTATTCCAAAGAGGAAGGATGCTGA